AGCCTAGTCTAGTCTAGTGTGGAGAACCACTTCGACCCCGCTAGCGACTCCAGTGTGCACTCAGTGTGCGGCAGTGGGAAGGAATCACGGTTCGTGAAAGTGTTCAGGCGTCTATAGTCAATACAGAAACGCAACTTGCCATCCTTCTTGGAAACCAATATAACAGGGGGTGCCCATGGGGAGTGGGAGGGCCTAATGACCCCATTCGCTACCATGTTATACAAAAGCTCGCAGACCCCATCTTGATATTGTGCAGGGATTCGTCGGGGAGGTTGCCAGACTGGTTTGGCCATGCCGGCGTCAATGGTATGACGAATGAAATTCGACTGACTGAGGGATTAATCATCCTAAGCGAAAATCTCTTGGAAACCCAAAAGCAACCGTTTGAGGGGTACCAGGTTCTGGCCTTCTAAGGACTGCTGCGGCAGGATATCTTCGATAAGTGTTAGTTGAATTTTTACCAACTCTTCAATGGCGGCACAGACAGCTGCTTCGTCAAAGGGGGATTCTACTGTAATCGCTCTACAGCAGCAGGTGTATATTGACTTGTCCGCCCTCTTACGTCTGTACGACAGCCCTGATTTACCGGAAAGTCTATGCCTACGATCATGTCCCATGTAGAATAAGGCAGGACTACGAAGGAATGTGCGACTGTGGCATGGGGTAGGACTATGTTAACTGTCATGGTACCGATATGTTTCATGGAAGAGCCATCGGCAAAAATAAGTCTCGTTAATGGACAAACGGAAGTTTTCTACATCTTAGGGACTGAAGACGCGGGTTGCTTACAGTGACTGTAGTGCGAGTGTCTATGAGTGCCCGAATCTGGCGATGGTTCACAGTAAGGTTAGCATAAAATGAGACCACTTCCATAGGGCTGATACTGCATGTTGTAACTGAAAGCAGACCTACCAAATGGTCACAGTTGCAACCTTAGTTTTTGCCCTATGGTTGGTAACCAGGTCTCCGGAAGGGGGTATTGCGTTGGTATAGAGGGGAGCCACGGGGGCCCGTGGAATTATTCTGATTATGATAGGGGCGTTGATCCATGGGAGGGGCAGCTCTGCCCTATTGTGTTAGTGGTGGAGGAAAAGGCGCTTTTACTTAGTCTGCTGGAGACGAATGTAACGCTCCGCTCGGGCAATAGCCTCCTGGAGGTCTGTTGGTGGCTGAAACACCAAAGAGCGGCGTACTTCGGCATCATGAAAGGCCTCGTTAAAATAGTGGAATAACTGGTTCTCGTTTCTCGCACCCTTAATGGGCAAAAAGGAGGCAATTGTGAACCTCT